TCAATATCTTCAGCCAAAACAAGGCAAGGAGGTGATTGTGGAATAGACCATCAACTGCTCATATGCAAGTTCAACTTGAAGTTGAAGACAATTAAAACAAGCCCACGGGAGCCAAAATATGATCTTGAATATATCCTTCCTGAATGTAGAAACCATCTAAACAATAGATTTGATGCATTGAACACCAGTGACTGAAAACCAGAAGAATTGTGGGAAGACATCAAGAACATCATCCATGAAGAAAGCAAGAGGTCACTAAAAAGATAAGAAAAGAGAAGACCAAAATGGATGACAGAAGAACTCTGAAACTTGCCCTTGAGTGGAGAGTAGCTAAAGCAAATGGAAGAAATGATCAAAGAGCTGAACTGAAGATTTCAAAGAGCAGCTTGAGTAGGCAAAGCCAAATACTATAATGAAATGTACAAAGACCTGGTGTTAGAAAACCAAAAGGAAAGAACATACTCAGCATTTCTCAAGCTGAAAGGATTGAGGAAAAAATTTATGCATCGAGTTGCAGTATTGAAAGATTCTATGGGCAAAAGATTGAATGATGCAGGAAACATCAAAAGAAGATGGAAAGAATATACAGAGTTACTGTACCAAAAAGAACTGGTAGATCTTCATCCATTCCAGGAGGTTGCATATGATCTAGAACCAATGGTATTGAAGGAGGAAGTTGAAGCTGCAATGAAAGAATTGTGAAGAACAAGGCTCCAGGAATTGACGGAATACCCATTGAGATATTTGAACAAACGTATGCTGCACTGGAGGCATTCACTTGGTTATGCCAAGAGATTTGTAAGACATCTACCTGGCCAACTGACTGGAAGAGATCCATATTTGTACCCATTCCAAAGAAAGGTGATCCCATAGAATGTGAAAATTATCGAAGAATATCATTAATTTTGCACACAAGTAAGATCTTACTGAAGATAATTCAAAAACACTTGCAGCAGTATATTGACAGAGAACTTCCAGATGTGCAAACCGGATTCAGAAGAAGACGTTGAACAAGGGATATCATACCTGCTGTCAGATGGATCTTGGCTCAAGGCAAAGAATACCAGAGAGATGTTTACTTTTGTTTTATTGACTGTGCAAAGGCATTTGATCGTGTGACTCATGACAAATTATGGATAACATTGAAAAGAATGGGAATTCCTGAACACTTGATTGTACTCATGAGGAACCTGTACATTGACCAAGAGGCTGTTGTTCGAACACAACTAGGGGTCACTACATGGTTTAAAATCAAGAAGGGAGTGCTTCAGGGTTGTTTTCTTTCCCCACACTTATTCAATCTATATGCTGAGCAAATAATCTGAGAAGCTGGACTAAAAAAGAAAAACGTGGCATAAGGATTGGAGGAAGAATTATTAACCTGAGATATACTGATGATACAACTTTGCTTGCTGAAAGTGAGGGTGACTTGAGGCACTTACTGATGAAGATTGACGAATACAGTCTTCAGTATGGATTACATCTCAATATAAGGATAACAAAAATCCTCACAACTGTACCATTAAGCAGCATCACGAAAAATGGAGAAAAGATTGAGTTTGTTAAAGAATTCACATTGCTTGGTTCTACCATTGATGCCAATGGAAACAGCAGTCAGGACATTGGACCACGTGTAGCACTGGGCAGGTCGTCCACGAAGGAACTCTGAAGTGCTGAGAAGCAAGGATGTCTCCTTGATGACTAAGGAGCACCTGACACAGACCATGATATTTCCAGTTGCCTTGTATGCCTGTGAGAGCTAGACGATGAATATTAAGGAAGATCGAAGAAGAGTTGATGCTTTTGAGTTGTGGTGCTGGAGAAGAATGCTGGAAGTACCATAGACTACTAAAAGAACTAACAGATCTGTCCTGGAGGAAGTTCAGCTGAGATGCTTCTTTGAAGCGAGAATGGCCAGACTTCCTCTCACCTACTTTGGTCATGTTGTCAGAAGGGACTATTCCCTGGAAAAGGATGTCATGCTTAGTAAGGTGGATGGTCTATGAAAGAGGGGAAGGCCTTCAACAAGATGGATTGACATGTTGGCTGTGACAGTGGGCTGAAGTATAGCAAGGATCAAAGAGCTGGCACAAGATCAGGCAGTATTTTTTTCTGTGCGTGGGTTTGCTGTGAGTCGGAAACGACTCGACAGCACCTAACAACAACAAGGAATCACCACATTGCTTTCCACAGTGGTTCTATCACTTCACAGTCCCACCAGCAATGTATGAGAGTCCCAATCTCTTCATATCCCTGCCAGCATTTGTTATTTTCTATCTTGTTGAACCTTGCCATCAGTGCTGGGGTGAGACGATATCTCATTGTTGTTTTGATTTGCATCTCTCTGATGGCCAGTGATTGTGAGCATCTCTTCATGAATTAGCTGACCACCTGAATATCCTCCTTGGTGAAGTGTCTATTCATGTCTTCTGCCCATTTTTCAATTGGATTATTAATTCCTTTGGTGTTGAGGCATTGGAGTTTTTCACGAATCTTAGAGGTAAGTCCCTTGCCAGATATGTAATTATCAGCAAATACGAATTTGTTGCTGTCATTTTTGTTATGTGCTTTTTTACGGTGTCGATTTCTTTGTTCCATACAATTTTCTATGCTGAGCTCGTTTTATTTATAAATCATGTTATCACTTCCTTTGTTGCTATTGTTTTAGTATTTGCTAAATATTTGTGCTGATCCTCTTTTTGATTTTGATCTGAAGGTTTATCATTTTTCTTTGAGGTTACCCTGTAATTTATAGTTTTCATCCAAGTTTACAACAGTCCATTCTATCTTGTAGTTGTCTTGACTTCCCTACCATCTAGAAGTTCTGTAACAACACAGATTTTTATCCCTTTTTTTGGTTTGTGGTTGTCTTCATTTGTCGGTTGTTGTCTCTGCTTCCCTGTTTACAATCTTGTAGGCTTATTTACTTTGGATACTTCCATATCTGGGTTGGTTTCTGGGTTCTATCATCATGTGTGTTAATGGTCAGTTGTTATTGATTGTTGTTGCTTCTCTGTCCAAAGGACTCCTTTTAACATCTCTTGTAAGGTTGGTCTACTTTTAACAAATTCCCTTAATTTCTGTTTATCTGAAAATGTCCTAATTTCACCATCGTATTTGACGGAAAATTTTGCTGGGTACATAATTCTTGGTTGGAAGTTTTTCTCTTTCAGGGTTTTATATATACCATCCTTCTTCTCGCCTGCATGGTTTCTGCCGAGAAATCTGAGTTTAGTTCAGTTGGTTGCCCCTTGTAGGTAACTTTTCGTTTTTCCCATGCTCCTCTCATGATTCTTTCTTTGTCTTTGGTTTTGGTGAGTTTGATGATGATATGTCTTGGTGATTTTCTTATGGGGTCTATCCTGTTTGGGGTTTGTTGAAGTTCCTGAATAGATTTATTCTCATCTTTCATCATATCAGGGAA